AGACCTAGAGCAAAGAAACCAAATAGATGAGAGTCGTACCAAATGGTAGATCTGCACTCAAGTAGTCTCACCGAGGTTATCACAGCTCAGGAATTACCGTATTTTTGGGACCATAAGACGCACTTTTTTCCCCCCAGAAGTGGGGGGGGAAAGTCCCTGCGTCTTATGGTCCAAATATAGCCTACACATATACTTTAAAAAAAAAGTTTTTTTACTTGCCCGGCTCTGTGTGGTCTCTGTGTGCTTGCCCGGCTCTAAAATGGTTCTAAATGCTGCTGTTTACTTTACAGGGTTGATTACATGTGTTTATGACTGTGATGTTGGGTTTTAATGCACATAAAATATTTTAGGACACTATTTGTTTCAGAATCTTTTTTTCTTCATTTCCCTTCTCTAAAAACTGGTGCGTCTTATGGTCTGGTGAGTCTTATGGTCCGAAAAATACGGTAGGTTGCAAATACACTGCAGCTGGATTATGGGCCAGGGAGCTTGTCTCTGTGCTAAAGCTTCACACACACGAACTGATTTAATCCTCACAAGACCCCCGGGAGGTGAATAGTATGATTGCCCTCGGTGTACAGAGGAGGAAACGGGGAAGTTAAAGCAATGTGGCCCAAGTCAGCTGGAAAAAGCAGAGTCAGAATTTCGACCCAGACAGCTGGTTTCGGATTCTCAGAGCAGAGCCTCTGACAGCCCGGAGCGTGTGAGGGGCCTGTGATGAATGCTCGCTGGATTTGGCAGATACTACATGCAGAGAAAGGAAAGGTGGTCTGCATAATGTTTGAAGACTTTGAGCCATGAACCTCTGTGGAGTCTGCTGAAGTCCATGGAGTCTTTCCCAGAATAATGTATTTTTAAAAAATATGTTTTTATTAATTTTTTAGAGGGGGGGGGGAGGGAAGGGAGTGGGGGAGAAAGAAATATTGATGAGAGAGAAACATTGAAATCGACTGGCTGCCTCTTATAATATCCCTATTATATAAGGCATGCACCCAACCTGACCAGGAATCGAACCAGTGACCTCTTGGTGCGTGGGTTGATGTTCAAACAATTAAGCCACACTGTCCAGGCCCAGAATATCGTTTTTAAGCACATAAATACATGGAAAGACAAAGGGAAATAGTTACACTGAGATGCATTTATAAAAGTGCTACCAAAAATTGTGCTATGTTTATCATTCTGCTACGGGGGCAGCTACACATTGGGATGGGCATCAGTTTCGCTGTGACGGGAATGGGCTGAGCTGCCCACGTGGCTGGCTGGTTTCAGCAGAGGCATCAGTGGTTGGCTTCAGAAAACTGAACTCAAGACCTCTTCCCTCCAAGTCACCTTTTCCTTCATTAACTTTCTAAAACGCAGGTTTGATTGTGTTTCTCACCAGTACTAACCCTTTCAGTGCCCAACCTCTGTTGTTCCAGAGTCAAGTCCAGTGTGCCCAGGAGGACCTTCAAGGCCTGTGTGAGCTGACAACAATCTGTGGGTGCAGGTGCTCAGCTGAGGCACTGGGAGGGCTTCTTCTTCTGACCCCGAGCTGAGGGCTCCATTTGGTTGACTTTGGTTCAAAGTCCCAGGAGAACCCTCCTCCCGCCTCCCCCGGGCAGCTGGATGCTAAATACAGGGCACTGGGCAGGCCTCTGCCTCCCAGTAAACAGTTCAGATGAGTAATTATCCCACAGCCTATCCATTTTCTAATCTTCCTCCCAAGTTTTTCAGGGGTGATTCATTCTGTGAAGTGAAGCAGCTGGTTGGGCTTTTCCATGATGTCCTTTTGTGTTTGTTATTGTTTCCATGATTCTTTTGTTGCTGCTGACACTTTATCATCCCTGACATGTGACTTCCTTCTTGTCCCAGCAGTCTTTTGTCTTTTGTCTCCTTTGACTAAGGGGGGGACCTCAGCCTGGGCCCCAATCCTCCCTTCTATTTCAGTTTGATCTACTTTTTAAAGACAATGTTTTTAATTGGTTTTTAGAGAGGGAAAGGGAGAGGAAGGGAGAAAGAGAAACATCGATGTGAGAGAGAAGCATCAACTAGGTGGCTCCTGTGTGCCCCTTACCAGGGATTAGAGCCTGCAACGCAGGCATGTTTCCCCACTGGGAACTGAACCGGCACCCTGGCGGTACATGGGACCACACCCACCCAACTGAGCCACATGGGCCAGGGCTGATCTACTTCTTTAACATTTTTACTGGGGTGGGTGGGAAGAGTGTGGGTCGCTGAGTCCAGCAGAGCTGATTGGTCGGCTACTCACTGCTATACAATGGTGTGCAAATAGTATGACCTCTCCTAACCTCATCAGTAAAAATGGGAACAAACATATCCATTTCCAGGATTTTGTGAGAACTAAATGAGGATGGATCTGTGGAAGGACTTTGCATAGGATCTGGCTCAGGGTGCATACTCAGTATCTTTGAATTTTCATTTCTTTCCTTCCTTCCACTAGAAAGAGAGTACCTAGTTCTGCAACCTGAAAACCTGGGTTGGTATTGGTGTTAATGAAGAGCCAGTCACAGAAAAGCTTGAGATGACCACTCCCCCCAGGGGGTAAGATCTGGGCCTTTTGCCTCAGTCTCAATAGATCCTACCCAGCATGGGTGTGGCTTCCAGTAGAGATTCCACAAAGGTCTGTTGAATGGAAGGATGAATGAATGGCCAAAGGAATGAGTGGATACATTCTTCCAGGATAAAGGATTTGAGAAGAATAAGTAATGTCAAATTAATCAAATAATTTGTAATATGTGAAGCATCTTCACAAACCTCTGATGCTGTTGAGTGACAGGCTGGCCATGGAAGTCTGCACACTGCGGTGCGGGCGGTGCAGAGGGTGGCAGAGGCCTCGAGGAGCTTAAGCATCCCATAATGCAAGAGCAGGTGGGCGAAACAAATCACTCACTTGCGAGAGTCGTTAGGGTAATCGGGAGACAGCAGCGAAGGCGTGACAAGGAATTGCCTGGTAATTACTATTGTTTCAGCCTAAATACATGTGTGTGTGTGTGTGTGTTTTCTGGCAAGTAATTGCTGCTTCTGAGTTGCAGCAGTGAGGCTGACTGTGGAGCTGTCTCAGAGGAATGACTTCAGATGACTAAGCTCGGCTTTGCACCACCAGATGGCCTGCCCTGTCACTGTCTCTGGCCTCAGCAGCAGTCTCCCAGCCTGCCTCCTGCTTCCCTGGTTGCTCCATCACAGTCCATTCTCCACACCACCGCCACCGGGACCATTCAGATCTTATGAACCTCGCTACTTAACACTTCCTATTCCTACTTCCATTAGGATAGAAAATCAATGCCTCGCCCTGGCCCATGTGGCTCAGTTGGTTGGGCATGGTCCCATGCACTGCAAGGTGGCCAGTTCAATTCCTGGTCCCAGAGCATGCCTGGGTTGCAGGCTCTATCCCTGGGGAGGGGTGTGCAGGAGACAGCCAATTGATATTTTGCTCTCACATTGATGTTTCTCTCTCTTTTTCCTCCTCCTCCTCCTCCTCCTCCTCCTCCTCCTCCTCCTCCTCCTCCTCCTCCTCCTCTCTTTCCCTCTCTCTCAAAATCAATATATATTCATATATATTTTTATTTAAATGTATATATTTTATTTAAATATATATTTTATTTAAAATGCAATGCTTCTGTGCTTGGTACCCAGCCCCCTGCCCTTGTTTGCCTCTCCATCGCCTCTCCCCACTGTGCTCCAGCTGCCCCAGCCCTCTCACCCGGCTCTTCAGACACACCAAGCCAATTCCCACTACACAGTCACCACACCCTCCCCCCTTAACTCCCTTCTCAAGTCTGTCTCTTCCTCCTCACTCAGCTCTCAGATCCATTCATTCCCGAGTGTCCTTCCCTGACTTTCTGAGCTGCAATAGCTCTCTCCCTTCCTCTCTGTTTCTCTCCATTCTTATTTCTTCATGTTACTTAGGACTCCCTAAAACCACCTTATTCATTTGTTTATTTAGGGCTATTTTTGTCAATTTTTCCTTCCCCTGATGGAATATAGGGCTCAAGGGCTTATATCCATCTGGTTTACCACTCCATCCTTAGCACAAAATAGCCGTAATAGGTGCTCAATAACTGTTTCAGTGGTCGGCAAACTCATTAGTCAACAGAGCCAAATATCAATAGTACAACGGTTGACATTTCTGTTGAGAGCCACATTTTTTAAACTTAAACTACTTTTTTGAAGCCACTTCTTCAAAATAGACTCGCCCAGGCTGTGGTATTTTGTGGAAGAGCCACACTCAATGGGCCAAAGAGCTGCATGTGGCTTGTGAGCCGCAGTTTGCCAACCACGGTGTTAGGTAAGCAAAATCAGGTCTGTCGCACTAAGAACAATCAAGCTAATGGAGCAGAATCTCTGTCAACTTCTCAGCATCCTTTGCTAGAACATGGGGGTGGCATCATTCTTGCAAGGTGGAGGGAGTGTCAGGAGGAGGTGCTCACAGGCTGCCACCGTCCTCCCAGGAACATAACCTCACACACACAATTGTGCCCAGCAGTTCTTTGGGAATTCCTGAAGCCACCTGATGACCCTGAAGCTGCTGATGAACCCACAGCTCCAGAATCCTAGTCCAAGGCCCAGAAAATGAATTTGAGTGGTTTTTGTCATTGCAGTTGACATGAAGACCGATCTGGATTCCCATACTCATCAGTCCTCTTTTGCTAAGAATAATGGTGGAGTTCAGGAATAGTTCAGTAGCAGTGAACATGGACTCCGGATAGCTAAACAAAATGGGAATTGGCTGGAAAGCTATCAGAGCTCACAGTTCTGAGAAGGGTTGGGGGTGGGGGGCAGGGACTGATATGATTAAGGCAAAGGAGTAAGGAAATGCATGGCAGAGTAGGTGAACGATGGGGACACGGAGGCAAGCCAAGAAATGTCACAGAGGCAGGAAACGCAGCCTTTTTCCAGGCACATGAGGTGGGCCCCTGCCTTCTCCCTTCCGTTCCTTTCAGGACTGAGAAAGGGCAACCTTGTCTGAAGCAGGATATGCACAGATTAAGGAAACAGCATCCCTGCCAGCTCTGCCTGTTGAAAATGAAGAGGTGACGGTAACATCTTCGTCATCCGCCTGCAAAGGACCTGATCAGACCGAGGCCAACACTAAAGGGCAACGTGGCCCCAGCAAGTCTGGGCTGAGCCGGACCTGGCAGCAAAGCCGGTGTCACAGATGCCTCAGGGGCCAGCAGGTCAGGGAAATGTGTGAAGCCAGCCGGTGCAGGATGACCTGGAGGGACGGACACTTCCTGTGCCAAAGTGGAGATCTTAGGTGCCCCACCCTAAATGATATGATAATATGGTTTCTCGGCCCTGGTTGGGTAGCTCAGTTTGTTAGAGCATCATCCCGATACACCAAGGTTGCGGGTTCAATCCCCAGTCAGGGCACATATAAGAAGTAATCGATGAATGCATAAATAAATGGAAAAACAAATCAATGCTTCTCTCTTTCTCAAAACCAATAAATATTTTTTTAAAAAGTAATATGGTTTCTCTTCTTTAATGTATCAAGGGAATGGACTCATTGGTGCCTTGCCTAACTTTCAGCCAGCTCTTACCAGCTTCTGAGAGCCAATTGGTTGGATTCAGGAATTTTCAAGCTGGTTGAGATCATTCACGTTGGTAGCTTACAATTAGCACCATCCTTTGCTAGAATTAACTATGCTTAAAATTAGTCATGGTGGGAGTATTTGCACCACAGGAATTGACAAATGTGACAAATCAGGTCTTTTTTGTTAAACCAGCAGCACACTACTGCTTGTGTTCTTGAAATTAACTGTGCTTGGTCTTATTATATTATTTTTTAATCATTACTGGGATTTATTTAGTTATTTTTTTATTTTTAGAGAGAAAGAAAGGGAAGAGAAAGAGAGATAGGAGAGAGAAACATTGATGTAAGAGAGAACTGTCAACCAGTGGCCTCCTGTTGGTATACACCTGACCAGGGATCAAACCACAATGTTTTGGTGTATGGAATAATGCTCCAACTAACTGAGCCACCTGGCCAGACTCTGGATTTTATTTTTAATCATAAATGAGATTAGTTTTTAGTGTGTTTTTATTATCCTTTTGAAGGATACATTCTCTGCCAGCTCTATTTCTTAAAGCTTTCCATGTTTTTTGATGGCCTACTTTAAATCTTTGATTCTTAATCACCTGGAGAGTCTTTTCCATTGAAATACCCACATCATGCACCTGATCAGTAATCAGAATCTCAGGGTGGGATTCTCATGCCAGTATTAACCCTGTAGGAATTCCAAAGTCCAGCCATGGTTGAGAACCACTGCCCTAGCCTAGTGCTTCTTAGAAGTTCATGCACACATAAATCACTTAGGAAGCTTGTGAAAATTCAGGGTCTAATTTAGTAGGTCGGGGTGGGGAGCTGAGTGTCTGCATTTCCAGCAAACTCCCAGTGATGCTATGCCGGTCCATGGACCACACTCTGAGTAGCAAGGATTTGAATAACATTGTAATTATCTGTATCTAAAAGGTTAGAGAGAATTCAGTTATGCAGCCATTTTCACTTTGATGCCTTTTCAACATCAAATCTCATTGCCTTTTCAACATCAAGTCTCATTATCTTTCTAATAATCTTATCTATAGCAATTGGTTTATCTAAATTTTCCATTTTTCTCCTATGCCAATTTTGATATTTTGCATTTTGAGAGAAATCTAGGTGTTTTTTCCCCCCTAAGTTTTCAAGTTTATTGACATTTAGTAGTCTCATACTATTACTTTAAACACTCATATCTATAATGATTCAAATCCAAAAAATGTAAAAAATAGTAAGCCAATCAACCAATTATCTGTGGGCTCAGACTAATCCTTGGGCTTCCAATTTGCAACCCAACCCCGTTTTCTCTCCCCTTGTCCCCCAAGTTACTCCAGTAACTTCTCTGGCTTTTGAGTTGTCACTGACTCCAAAAAATTCTGTAATAATATATTACTGAGGAGGTAATCTCAGAAACAGTTTCAGAGCTGAACTATGTATGCTTAACCATCATGTAATTCAATAACGTTATTTTACAGGTGGGTAAGCTGAGGCCCAGAGAGGCAGATGACTTACCCACGAGTCATAAAAAGGTTAAGATTAGAACCGGGAACATCCAGGAACCCAATCAGGACAGAGATATGTCACCTCTATATCCCTAACATAGTTCCCACAATTCAACGGTTCAAGAGTGGTCCCCAATGAGAATGATGCGTAAGGCACAGTGTTCATCTGGCACCCAAGGCCTTTTATAGTCAGAACACTTTTGTGATGTTCACAGCTTTTTCCCATGATCCCAAGAGGAAAGTGATGCTTATTAAGGAACCAATGATTGGAACTCTTGTGATGTTTTTTTGTTTGGTGTTTGCATCCACACTGTTGGTACAGCTTTTGTAGAAGACAGTACGATGATTCCTCAAAAAAACTGAAAACAGAATTATCACCTGATTCAGCAATTCCATTTCTGGGTATGTACCTCCCCAAATTAAAAGCTGTCTCAAAGAGATATTTGCAGACCTCTGTTCATATCAGCATTGTTCACAATAGCTAAAACATGAAAGCAACCCATGTGTCCATCAACAGATGAATGGATAAGCAAAAAAGGTTTACACATGCAATGGAATATTATTCAGCCTTAAAAAGGAAGGGAATTCAGACGTGCTCCAACACGGAGGCAGGATGGGGAGAGGTTTTTCCAGGGCCCAAGAGCATGCACTCATTTACCACCAGCGCATCTGGAGGGTTTCGGCTGCTGCCACCGCCATTAACACGTTAAGCCTGTTTTGTCTTCTTTCCATTTAGCCCTCGATATGCGATTTCACCAATATGCTGGCAGCACTAGTGACTGATGAGGTCCAGACAGAAAGTAGTGTCAGACTGACAAGGTGCTTAACGTGTTGAATTCACTGCCTCTCACTGAACAGAGAGCCAAAGCCCACCTGATCCTGCTATGACACCTGCCATCAGAGCTGCTGGAGCCCTGTTACCCTAACCACACTGCTGCCCCACCTCAGTACCCCACACGGCAGAGCCCACAACTAACCACAGCTTCTGCTAAAAACAAACACGGCTTTTCCTTCCTTCTGCCTCACACAAGTGCTTTGCCCTCCCGGAACCTAACTGGCAAGGGAGTTTGGGAAGTGCCGTTTCCTGGCTGCAGCGCCTGAGATGCAGAGGAGAATGGGGAAAGCCTCAGGAATGAGGCTGAGCAGCCACAGACAATATCCAGGTACAGCTGCCAAGAGGAAGCAGTGAGGCCAGAACCCGCATCTGAAAGTCAAGTCTTGGAATTCAAACATCTCACCCAGTGACAATCAGCAGCCTTGAGGAATCACGAATTCCACCTGGCTCGGCCCTTTGTCTCTGGTCTCCCAGAAACACTGCCTCAGCCGAGGCGAGGCTCCCCTCCTGGCCTGGGGGAAAGGGTGGAGGGGAGTAGGTAGAGGATGAAAGTTACTGAGCCCCCCAAAGGGAGACCTCTGAGCACTGAGTCTTCCCTTAAAGCAGAGACAGCCTGGAAACCCGAGGTCCCCTTCCATGCCAAGGTGAGGAGCCGTATTAATCTGCTCAGGCTGCACAACCAAGTACCACAGATGGGGCAGCTTCAACAACAGACGTTTATTTTCTCACAGTCTAGACAGGCTTGAAGTCCAAGATCAAGGTAGCAGCCGTCTGGTTTCTTCTGTGGCCTCTCTTCCTGAGGTGCAGCCAGCCACCTTCTTGCTGTGTCCTCAACACGGGCTTTTCTCTGCTTGCACATCCCCGCTGTTTCTTCTTGTAAGAACACTGGTCCTATTGGATTAAGGCCCACCTTTATGACGTCACGTAAGCGTAATTACCCTCTTAAAGGTCCCATCTTCAACACCCAATCCCCTTAACTCCATAACTATGTGAGCTAGTTCCTTACAGTAAATCTGTGTGTGTGTGTGTGTGTGTGTGTGTGTGTGCACATGCATGTGTGGGTCTCCTATTAGTTGTTTCTTTGGAGAATTTAAACTAATACACAGATCCTATGCAGGGAAATGAAAGCCTAAATCACACCTCTAAGGAGAAACATTAAAATTAAATCTCATTTTTACCTAATGAGAGAAAATTAAATATTAAAGAATATGATTTTTTTTTTTGTCAGAAAGTGTTCGGTTTTGGAGGGCCATAAAGCATTGTAATATTTAAGAATTTTTACTAAACCCCAAAGAACCAATTTTGCCCCTTCGGGAGACAGTATTGCTCCCAGAGAGAACACATACCTTTTAGAGAGATAACTCGTTGCATCCACAAAACAAGAATAAGTTGCAATTTATAAGATGAGCACTGAAAAATAAGAGTTCTAAGAACTGAAAAATCTGGAGATATAAATTAAAAACTCAGTGAAAAGATTCTTAGTCAAATCTCTAAGCCAAATACCAAGAAAGAGAAGGCAAAAAAGGAGAGAAAAGATTGTAAAATTAGAGCATCAGCTCAGGAAGTTCAACATATTAATAATAATAAGAGTTCCAGGGTCTGGCTGGTTAGCTCAGTTGGTTAGACCGCCATCCCGTACCCCAAGGTTGCAGTCTGATCCTCAGTTAGGGTATAAACAAGAAGCAACCAAAGAATGCAGGAATAAGTGGAATAAATTGATGTTTCTCTTCTTTCCTCTCTTAAAAAAAAAAAGAGTTCGAGAGAGAGAGAGAGAGAGAAATGTGTGATGGTAGTGGTGGGGAATCATTAAATAATTTGAGCCAATTTCTCCAACTGAAGGATATGCATTTTCAAACTCGTTGCAGCCATGGAAGGCCCAGCTCAGATGACAGCACCCATGTAAGGCACCTCACCACAGTGCCAGAGCACTGGAACAGGAAGAATCAACAAGACAACCACCCTCTTTCTCCTGGGAGGTGTCATTCAGCTCCCGGTGCTACAATCTCAAAAGTTGAAACGACATTTTTAGTAGATGTGTCACGAGGATTTTTGAAAAGAAGTTCTGAAGATACTAGTATATCTTTTTTTTTTTTTTTTTTTTTTTTTTGTAAAAGCAACATATGCTCACTATAGGAAATAGTATTTTCAGAGAAGTTCAAAGAAGAAAAAGTCTCAACTGTAATTGAACAGCCCTGGACTAAATACTATAACCATTTTGGATTGGTTCCTTCCTGTGTGAGTACTTTTAAAAACATATCAGCCTATCTATCCTTTTATAATATTTATTAAACATAATTGAAACCATTCCTATGTATACTTTTAAATTCCTGCTTGCTTATATAATGAACATTTTTTAATTCAAAGTTTTCAAAAGTTTCAATGACTGTGCAAATATCCTAATTTATACTATATGTAAAATCAACCTGTTTTTAGAAATCTGAGCTGTAACCATCTTTTCTATATTTTTGTTGTTGTTAATCCTTTCCCAAGGATATTTTCTATTGATTTTTATTTTATTTTATTTATTTATTAAAAATATTTTTTATTGATTTCAGAGAGGAAGGAAGGAAGGAGGGAAAAACATCAATGAGAGAGAACCATTGATCAGCTGCCTCCTGCACATCCCCCTTTGGGGATGGAGCCCACAACCCAGGCACATGCCCTTGACCAGAATAGAACCCTTCAGTCTCCAGTGCAGACATTCTCCCAAATGAGCAAACCTGGCTAGGGCTCCACTGATTTTTAGAGTGGAAGGGATAGGGAGAGACAGAAAAACATCAAGAGATGTTGATTTGCTGCCTTCTGCAGAAGCCCCAACCAGGGCCAGGGATTGAGGCTGCAACTGTGGTATGTGCCCTTGATCAGAATCAAACCCAGGACCCTTCAGTCTGTGGGCCGATGCTCTAACCACTGAGCAAAACCAGCTAGGGTTGTATCCACCTTTTCATTGTTCTAAATAACACTGTGATAAAAAAAAAATCTTTGTATAAATACCTCTGGCTATTTCCTTAAATTGGATTCCTAAACATGGGATTACTGATTTAAGATTATGTATAGATTTATGGAATTTGCTTCACCATACCTACTTGAATTCTGGTCCTGTGCTATTTAATATAGTAGCCACTTAGCCACATGTAGCTATAGTTAAACTTAAGTGCAATTTAAAACCCGGCTCTGCTGTTGCACTGACCACTAGTCTTTAGTCCACAATAGCCATGTGGAGCCAGTGGCTACATATTGGACAATGAAGACGAACATCTCCATCCTTTCAGAAAGTTCTAGAGGACAGCACTGTTTTTAGAGAAATCATGCTTTTTGTTCCTCCATATCAGTCTCTCTATTCCTTTATGAGATCTAAATATTACCATTCCAAGCCTTATTTGACAAGCCAAAAAGGGAGCCTCCATTAAATTCATAATTGTTTCTAAAGCTGCCCATTTTGTTAGCAATTGTATTTACCTATGAATTCTTGTTTGCTAGTCTTGATGTTTTTCTTGTAGATCTAGATACCCAAAAGGAGCTGTGCATCATGGTCTCACCTCCGGACCATGCCCCCCACGGAAGCATATGACACCTCTACTGGAAAAATGTGGGAATACCCTTTCCAAAGGACGGTGACAGTTGTCCCACTGTGGTTTTCTGTAGTCTTCCTTCCTCTTTTTTCATTTCTCTGGAGTTCTGGGGGTTTCTGTTTGGTCTCCTAGCTATTTTACTTTGTTATGGTGGCTGGGGCTGCTTCCCTCCATCTTAGTATGTGCCCATGCTATCCTGCCTCTCCAGCCTATACTCATGCCAGTGATCCCACAGTACCCTGTGCCTAGTACCTATCGAACACTGTTTAATGAAATACTACACATTGAGAAGGGCAGAAAAAGTTTTTGTTTTTAAAAAAAGCTAATTTTAATGGAACTTTTGGTTTCAGCAGAGTCTAGGGAAGTTTAAATATTTGCTCCCCAACATGGTTCTGCAATACACTCTTGGTATTCCTGATTTATTCCACAATTTTCCCTTCCTTGGTTGGCAACTGTGAAATAGGGAATCAAGCGCTATCCAATGTAACTGAAGAATGTGTGAGGCAATTAAGTATCCATGCTGCAGGCCCCTCTCTTGCTCTGCCTTAATCTATTATAGAGCAATCATAAACACAATTGCACAGAAACAGTTAGGGATGTCTTACCTGCAAGAAAGAATTCTTGACTGATGCTTCCCTATACGCCTCGGGTGGGGGCCTTGTATAATAGAAACCTTCAGAGCCAACTGCCTTAAAATGTTGCCCAAATTTAATTGAGAGCAAACTACTATGTACCTTCAGTAGGCAAAGTAGGTTGAATGCTGGATAAAACATCACTTGCTTTATCCCCAGTGAGGCCAACACTGATATTATGAGCTAAAGTTGACCTAGAAAACACAGTTGTGAGCGTTTTCCTTCCTCTTCAATGACAATAAAAATGGACATGTGTAACTAAGATGGAAGTTGAGGCCAATGGGCAAATTGGGCATCTAGCGCCACCTTGTGGTAACACATCCAAATCCTGGTCCCTTTCAAGGAGGCCAAGATTTAAAAAATGACAGCCCTCTTGAGGAATTTGGATTTAATGACAACTATGGGAGAGGCCATTTTCTTGAAGAATACAAACTACAGAAATAACTAGCACTTGACTGGCACTTTGTAGTAAATAAAGCACTCCCATGTGATTTAATCTTGGCAGCAGCCCTGTGCTGTAGATAGTAGGATCTCAGCCTCAGAGATGTGAAGACTGAGGCTCAGAGAAGTTGGAGACCTGTATTAGGCAAGTCCTAACTATACTCCCAATTCTATAATTTATTAATACTATTATATAAAAAACTCACAAGGAATGCATAGCACTATATAGTATAGGGTATAAACTGTGTGGTATAATACATAGTCTAGACCAGTAGTTGGCAAACCGAGGCTTGAGAGCCACATGTGGCTCTTTGGCCCCTTGAGGGTTCAAACACTGCTTCTTCAAAATAGACTTGCCCGGGCCGAAAACCGACTACTGCGCATGGGCCACAAAGTTTTAATCCCACTGCCCATGTGCACCCGCATGTGGTATTTTGTGGAAGAGCCACACTCAAGGGGCCAAAGAGCTGCATGTGGCTCATGAGCCACAGTTTGCCGACCACTGACATAGACTATATAGAGAATATACAACATGATATATATGTTACTAGAGTACTTATGCTATTTTTTTTTTTTAATCTTCACCGGAGGATATTTTTCCATTGATTTTTAGAGTGGGAGAGGGAAAGAGAAATATCTGTGTGAGAGAAACACATTGATTGGTTGCCTCCTACATGAGCCCTGACCAGGGCCTAGGCCAGGGAAGAGCCTGCAACTAAGGTACATGCCCTTGACCAGAATCAAACCCGGGACCCTTTGGTCTGCAGGCTGGTGCTCTATCCACTGAGCCAACCCAGCTAGGGCTATTTTCTATAGTACTGCTAAGCAGCACTCGCTATCTTCCTGGGGCTGTTTTCTGACTGTGAAGCGTTCACTCTATCCTATAGGTCCATGAGCATCTATCCTATAGGTCTATCTTCTTTACAAGTTGATTTCAAAGAATAAAACACTGTACAGAACAGACTCTATATTTGCTCTCACCTAGTGTAGCTGTCTTCCAGCCTTCAAAAGAAGGGGAGAGAATATATACAGCAACAGATCAGCAAGAGAAGGAGTTCCTCTTGCTTCCCCTGCTCCATAGGCCCCTCCTAGAAAGTCAAGGACAGGTGGCAGTTAGAATGTCCAGCAAGCACTCTGCCTGAGGCACACTGCCAGGAGGACTTATTCCAATCGTGCAGAAAGCTATGACTATTACCCAGCCCCTCCCACCGAGACCCCTCCTATTCAGATGTGGTTGGGGTTTACGGCCCTGGATTGCTGCATGTATAGTCCAGTCAATATGCTCAAGACGAATGCTCTCATCAACAGCTCCCTCCAAAAACTGAAACACAAGGGCTTACAGGATCACCTTTAGTTAGCAGGCCAAAAGAACCTGGATTATATTTCATACAGTAAATCATTATATGAGAATGTTTGGGAACAAGTCAGTAGACCAATTTCAGGATTTTCCCCTTTTCTACCAAATTCTAGTTTTTGGCCATGTTCGTCATTACTTCCTAACCACTATTTCCTCATTACCCAGCAGGGAGGTGGGACAGATCATCTACCACATCTCTGGAGAAACTGCATTGGGCAGATGAGGGGAGGAAGAGGGCCGAAGTGATGGCCTTCCTTTCTCTCCCTTGGGGTAGTGTGGCAAGGACTGGCCCAATTATAAAGGTCTTAAGAATTAGGTAGGAAGACCTGGCCAGATAGCTCCAGTTGGTCAGAGTGTTGTCCTGATACCTCAAGGTTGTGGGTTTGATCCCTGGTCAGGGCACATGTACAAGAATCAACCAATGAATGCATAAATAAGTGGAACATCAAATCAATGTCTCTCCCCCACCTTTTCTCTCTAAAATCACTAAATTAAATTTTAAAAAATTAGGCTGGGAGCCACAGTGGGTTCTTAAGACACAGCAAAGTGGCTTTTGTGGAGCACTGGTCTTGAAGAGACGCATAAGTGAACTGAAGCGGAGAAAAATGAGCAAATATGAGACACTAGAAAAAGAGAAGAAAAAAGAACAAACCTTCAGACTAAAAATACACATAGATATGTTATTTTGCTCTGTTTGGCCTAATTTTTTCTAAGGGTTGTTGGACATGCTGTGCATGTCAGACACATGTGTAAGTAACATAAGAATAACAAAGATCTCTAAGTGTGAGTGGGCCCTTAAGCTTTCCCACAGGGACTTTTACAGTTGGTCAATGTGGCTAAATTACATCATAGGACTTCCTTTACTTTTCAGGCCTTGCAATTTTATTTGCTTTTGCATTTATATAATACATGTGTGCCCTGCCCTCTCTCTCTCTCTTTCTCTGTCTCCCTCCCCCTCCCCTCTCTCTTACTCTCACACACACACACATACACACACATACACACTCCTTTTGTATTTTTTACTTTTTAATACAAAAGTTATATATGCCCATTGAAGAAGTTAAAACACAAAGATATAGAAAATAAAAAGAATGACATTAAACATTCCTCTACAAGAGGAGGCATAAAAGTCCACCTTGTGAAAGAAAGGTCAGGACCTGTGAGCCAGGCCCAGGGTCACAGGAGTTGGGTTCGTTGGAGACTTTCGGAATTTGCTCTGAAGGAAAACTCTTGGCACACAAAGACCTTCTTTCTTGTTCACCGTCTCACGAAACACATACTCGTTCACCACTTCTTCATAACCCGAGTCCGTAAAGAGCTGAGCCAGGAATTCTGTAAGACAGCAGATCAACAATGCCCGGTGCTGGCGTCACTACCCGTGCTGTGCGGAGGGGTGAGGACTCCTCCGAAGGACTGCAGGGCTTAGACGGATTTTTAAAATGTAATGAAAACGTCAACATGAAAATTTAAAGGTTTTGTTTTGTGAAGTAACATATTCCTACTTCTCTTCATCTTACACCCAAATAGAAACCCCCCCAATAAAAATGTAATCAGGGAAAAAAAGTTTGTGGACTATGCCCCCGGTGCCCTATTATGAGTCCCCAAATGCCAAGGTCTGAGTAAAAAGAACAAAATCCCAAACTGGGTGTATTGATACAAAGTGTACATGAGTTCAATTTGTTTAGATCAAGCACCTCCTCGATCCTAACATGAAGGAGGAAAATCTGTGACCGTGTGGGGGAAAGAAATCATCTGGTGGTGGTATACCCCACAGAAAGGAAAATCTAACCCAAATAACGTATCACTGCATGTTAAATGAAACAATAACATTACAACACATTTTTAATAATTTTCAACTGACATTTTCTCTGATTCTGCAGTTTGAATGGTAATCATTCATTTTTTCTTTAGAATCTAAAGGAATATTTTATTTCAAGAAATATGTTCGTAAAAAACAGGGCTTAAGAAGGTAATTTATCTTATGGTCCATTATTAAACAGGTTTAAAACCCATGTTCAAAATGCCCAAAAGACTAAAATAACACTTAGTGTTTGGATGTATTTCATTTAAATATGACCTTTTAAGGACCTATAGCAAAATTGTGCATTTAAATACAGATCCAATCACTTTTACAGAAAGATGTTTTTCCGTGACCTGGGAGAGTAACCAAAAGGCAATATGCTGTCCTATTATTTTTGTCTGAACAAAGTGAAGATGACCCTGAGTTGGCCCTCCCCTTCCAGCAGTTCCTGGTAGGGTATCCAGGTGGCACGCCAGCCTGTCCGTTAACCCAGGCCAACTAGACACCATCACCCGAGGAGGCCTGTGAGCTCACCACAGCCAGGGCCTGAGTCTATGTCATCCCAGGTTCTAGGGAAGGGGCACGTGTCAGAGAGCTTGTTCCAGGGTCATGGGCATGTGTGCTAATACGTACACATCCCCATTTCCAACCAGGAACACAGTGATAAAAGCAATCAAGTAAGCACAAATAAAGACAAGAGTCCAATAATCTTACCGTCAGTAAAAAAATACGATCTGGTTCCATCTTGTCTAACATAAAAGTTCTCGCCAAGTTTGCTTCCAGCTTTAAACCTGAGCATGGCGTGATCATACAGCCCGTAGTCACGAAACAGGACACTTTTGCCTGGTTTCAAAACCTACAAAGCAAGAGCAGGCTGCATATAATTCTGGGGAACTAAATAAAGCTTTATAGAGATGGATTCAAGCTAAAATAAAACCTGACTAATTCAGAGATGAGATTAACTTACATTTCCGATAATTAGGAAAGGGTGAGACTGAAATCCTCGTCATATGGAGGGAAAAGGCCTGCTAATCTAAGGTGCAGCCAGACCTGGCAGGTTGCCCACGAAGGGATACTTCCTGAGCACTTACAAGAGCGCTCTGGAAGGTCGAGGGTCGCACAATTAAAATGTTAAAGATATTAATCGAAAGTCATACCTCATTAAGACATGTTCTAGCATTTTACTAACCATCTCCTGGCACATGACCCTGTAGTCAAACTATCGCTTTTTTAAAAATACGTCATTTTGGTTTTTACTGATTCTGGTTGGCTTTCCTCATTCTGAGTCTCAGCTCTGGTTTCTCTGTGCTATCGATACAACTATGGACAGCTTCCCCACCGGGCCAATGCCTGACATATGCCCAGCTCTGTACAGCTTACCTGGCATCGTCTCACTGGATCTGCACCCAATTCTGAAGAAGGAAGGACTATGATTACTATCCTCACGTGAGATGAGGAAACAGACATCAGCAGAGGTAAGGGATTTGCCTACAATAACACATCAGCTTCTAAGTGGGGGAGTCAGGACCCCCAATTGGGTCAAAAGGCATCTGTTAGCCCTGAGATGTGTGTGTGTGTGTGTGTGTGCGCGTGCCACTGACACTACTGACAAGAGAGGTGAGGGGGGGGAGGGTAATGTTAAAATATGTACACAGATAATAATTTAATAATAATAAAAAAAGAAATACAAAAAAAGAAAAAAAGAAGAGAGGCTCTGAGGGGACAAGTAACTGACTGTTTTTCCCACACTGTGCTGCACTCCTCAATGTGCGGAGTGGATCAGGCAGGTGCAGGAGTGTAGGGAAGAGGTTCAATGTCAGGCCCAAGTGGGAACCCTCACTAAAAGCTTTCAGAGATAGGCATCATAAGGTAGATGTTTCGAAAACTGGAAAGTAAGATCAACAGGAGTGGGTATAACTGCTCCTGTCTTACAAAGCAAGTAACCATATGCTTTCAGGATGAAAAGAAAGTGGTACACACTAACACTTTTTATGTGAAAATTCTTTCAATCTGCATTAATTTTACCAAATTAGAATAGACTTCAAAGGGGGCACTAATTTTATTAACTCTTACTCTGACCCATCACATCAACAAGATAAGGCATGATATATACACTTAATATAATAGATATTTGACATAGTTTGATGCACTTCTTCTTTCTAAATAGAATATAAAGTATTATCCATAATACTTTCAAGTGTGCTAGCAGATTCTCTCATTTAGTAATTTCTTATCAATACTAGCATGCATTTTAACTGTTGTCAGTAAAGAGGCTCTTGGATAAAAACATTCTTACCTTGGTCAAAAATGCTAAGTTTTAAAATGTGAATAATTGAGAGGAAAAAATCAGCTCATATGAGAAAGACTATTCTCCATTTCAGAAGGGAATGTTACACAGGACAGTGGAAAAAGCACTCAGGAATTTGGAAATCTTGATTAATATCATAGTTCTTCCATTAATTAGTTGAATGACCTTGAGCAAGTAATTTCATGCCTCTGTATATGTTTTCTCATCTGTAAAATAATAATTATGATACGAATGCCTCCTTTAATCATGGCATTGTATAGTTAAACCAGGCATTTCTCAATATTAGGTTCTTTTATTCCCCCAATAACTCGGAGAAGTGGGTAGGTTAGGTCTATTATACCCACTTTACAGCAAGTTAGGCTCAGAGTAAAATGATTTGCCTGAGTTTTCAAGGCAAGTTGGTGGCACAGATTGAATAAAATCCAAATCTTCCAATGACAAATTTGGTCTGCTTTTACTTCACCATTATATTCCAAAAATTAGGTAATTCAACTGAAAGGTTTACTTTCAGTTTAAAATTACATGGTTTTTTTAAATTTTTCTGGTGTTAACATCCTGGAGTAATTAAATCTACTTTACAATAACTTTTGTAATTCTTTTAATATATTCTTTTTAAAAATTTTATTTTAATATATTCTTAACTAGACAATTATATTATCGGAAAGTATTAAGTTTTGTTTCTTTCTCATCCTCAAATCTTTTCTTGTCTTTTTGCGCTGACTAGAACCTTTGTATAATGATGAGCAGTATTGGTAGTGGGCACCCTCAGCTCCATAAAGTTTCTGATCTTCCATATTCTGCCCTAACTGCTACCTAACACCTGAAGCCTCCACCAGTGAAACCACCAGTATCCGCAGCCTCTTCTGAATGTTCTCTTCATTCTTTTGTTAACAGAAACCTCACTGTCCCAATGACGCTTTTCCCTGCAATCTCTCAAGTCATGGCTGTGTTTTCTCCCACTGCCCTTGTACCACTGGGCTGGGGGACCTAGCTGGTTTCCTCCCTCGCTCCACATTGCTCCTTTCTCCTCCCTGAAACGCCCAGCTCTGAATCTCTTGTCATCAGATTGTATCACCCATATCCTTTACTGATACCAATGTCTATTAGTTCCATGGCCATATCCCTTCATTTCATGATGAATGTATCTTTGGGTTTACTCTCTTATTCTCAATACTATTCCATTCTTAATTCTGGTCAATTCAATACACACGTGCATTATCCTTCCAAATATACTGGCTTCTTAATGATTTGAGCTTCTCTTTCAAAGATCCTGTCCTCCACCCTGCTTAACCCACT